TTACACTAATCAAGCACGCAGTATAGTGGGGCCATAACAGTGGGGCCTTCCGCGCCCAACCTACGACTCGCCGCTCCGAAGCCCCCGTGCTATACAACGAGATATCTACAAAATAAACCATGTAAGAGACAGCAATTTCAACAGACGGCCTTGTGCATGCTTAACCCCCCTGCCCGCTAGGAATCACGGCAATGGCGTGACTCGTGTTGGACCTCAGGCCTTCAAGTTGAGACCTAGCCAGGAGCATGGATGGTGTTTCCACTTGGGCGCCACACGACATCAGCGCTCAGTGTCCGTAGCTAAATACATAGGATTGGCAATGCGACAGCCTGAGAGTGACAAAGTGATAAAAGTTAACCATAAGAGGTAGGATTCCTATAAAAGGGAATATGACCGTAAAACGAAATCACTCTATTTCACTATAGGAGCCTACCATCAGCCGCCTGCACTCGACCGAGATATCATGTCCTTACAGTGACCAAAAAGCCGCGAATCGGATAGACTGACAGTTAAACGGTCTAGCCATGGCAACAAGTGAACTGCTCTACACTGTATCTGCGTTATATCTACAGTTGGGAGAGTGATAGCCTGAGTGGGTCTGTCTCCGCCACCAGTACGCTACCACGCACTACCCCCTCGAGATAGCACACCAGAGACAATCAGTGTAAGTTGGTTGTACGATCGCGATCCAGGTACGCATGTTGATCTGTTCGCCTGTCGACTCTCGCGCATACCAATCTCCAAAGCTTTCCAGCTACGTCGTTATAACTTCTATGGGATGCAGACGAAACAGCGGAAGGAGAACGGCGACAAGCCAGAGCCTTTTGTGGACAGCGCATACCCGCACGCTGCTGGGTCGTCTGAGGCATGCACATGCTGCTATCAGCCCCGCACCAGGCCGGGCATACGGACCGTCGGATTCGAAACTCCTCTCTCACAGAGCGGGACATACATGGGGTCAAATCACATCTCTACCATCAAGAGACGCGCCCAGTCTGATAGCAGTAAGTTTACCACGTTTTGGTGCAGTTTGTGAGCACACGAGAGTCGCTGACACTTTGTGCAGATGCGCCCGCCACGCAATTCTCCTCGTCACCACCGTGCAACACCTTTGTGGGAGCCATCCAATTGTCCCCTCTATCGCGACGAAGCTCCCTCCCCTCCACGTTTTCACCAAGCCAATCTTACCGGTGGTTTGGCCAGTCCATCTCCGGGATCACGGAGCGCGCTGCCATTCTCTCCTTCCATCCTGTACGCCCGAACCTGTCCGCGCACCGCCCGCTATCATCACTCCCGCAAGACATCTGGGACATAGTCGTCGATGTACTCGCCGACGCCCTCTCGCACGACGCCGCGGAGTGGCGGGCATACGCACGCGTGTGTCGTGCCTGGCACACGCGGTGCCGCCTCAACTTCGTCCGCGCGCTGCGCAGAGGCATGCTCCTCGAC